CTGGTGTTCTCAGAACAATGGATTAACCACCCCAAAACCCACATCTCAACATCATTGAATGTGTTTGGGATTACAGAAAATGCAACTTCTAAGACTGAACTTTGGAGGTGTGGAAAAATATCCCTGCCCATTTCTTTGAAAAATTGAAATCGAGTCTCATGAAAATAAAATGGTGAACATAGTAAATGCTGAAAAATAGTCATATTATATTGAATCATTGAGGCTTCTGTGTAATTTACTGTAAATATATATTTTCTTTTTTTCCTGATGCTAAAAACTAAATAATTTGTACCTAATGGCCTATTCGACTAGAAATAATAAATAAAGGGTGGTATCTGACTTTTGCAGAGTACTGTATATAGTCTCTCTCTCTCTCACACACACACACACACACACACACACCCACACACGCACACACATCGTTTCACTCATTGGCCCCACCCCTTACTTAAACATGCCATAATTAGGAAATAACTTTCGATTTGATTGTTCTCCATTTGCTCATTCCCCCTCCCCAATGAATGGTGATTAAGTTATGCATATAAATAAGGCACTTAGTAATTAAATGAGCCAATGGGCAATTATTATTTAATTGTACGTAATGTCTCCTCATTAAAAAAGGTAAATGAAAGCAGAGTGCAGTGATACAGTATTTCCCTATAAAACCTATTTAAGACATGAGATCCTGGCTGATCACTTTGCTTGTCACTGTGCTGGAGAAACAAGACTGGCATTCCTGAAAGGTAACCGTGGGTGGAAAGCACACGCTCAGTGTGTAGATATTGTTATGTATAACAACTCAGCAGCGTGCCTGTGCTGTGTAAAAGCCACACAACATTGCAGAGCAAAACCATTTTTTGTTGACCATTGGGTGGTGAACAATGCTGTCCTCTAGAGGAGAGTGCAACACCCCTTTGGATGCTGAGAGAGACAGCAGCTCAGTCCACATGCCAGTGAATAAGCACTGTCAGGGAGGGGGTGACCTCAGAGGTTTGGTGATTATGAGCTGAAGCAAATCCAGTGGTGGCAGCATGGAGAGAGACAGCAGAAGAGCTTCTTCTTTTTTCCTATCAGGTTTGAGGAGCATCTGTCCTTCAAGACACAATATCACGAAACTACTCCCTCTTTAAACATGCCTTATAAGCCTGTTCAAACCACAAGAAGCACAGAAACCAGAGAAGCTGGTTTCATGATGTTTCTGGCTTCTGCAGCACTTGTGGTAGAGAGGAACTGACGGAGGAAGAGAAATACCCAGTACTGTTTGTGGCTCCTTTACGCAATGGCTGCATCAAAGGTGGAGGTTTCTGCGTCAGACACCCATTCGTCATCTCATATCGCATGTCCTCTGCTCGGTCTAAATTGGTAAGAGTGGTGGAGACTGTGTTAATGAGACCCCCCCTCCCCACATGCTTAGGACTCGATCAGCTGTGAAAATGACTGTAGTTGGGTAAAAAGATGCGACACTTAACGGTTACGTAAACAGGATTCTGTTTAAAGGGATGTAGCAACTGAATAAACTTACCTTTTATAGTTCTTTTATAAGGTTTAGTAATGTCCTGTATATGAACCTGCTATGTCTTACATATGTCCTATTTATTAATATCTTGTATATGAGCATCCAAAGGTTGTCCTTTCAGTAAGTGTCCTGAATATGTCCTGTGAATGTTCTACATATGATTTGATGCTATGATGTTTTGTTTTATTTATAAAGGTCCTGTATATTAATATTCTGTACTGAATATGAGTATATGAGTATTCTATGAAAGTACACACACACACACACACACACATATATATATATATATATATATGTGTGTGTGTGTGTGTGTGTGTGTGTATAAATGTTCTGTGTATTAATGTCTTGTATATGCCATATGAAAATCATATATAGTTGTCTTATGTAAGAGTAAGAGTGGCCTTTTAGATGCTGCTGGACTCTGGGCTAGATTCGGTCAAGGCCTAATGGGCTCCCGTGGATTAGCAGGCAGTTTGGCCTAATTTTAGCACTTTCAGGTTTTATTTTCTTTATTTTTTTATTTTTTTCATTAAAACATCCCAGCATCAATGGATTTTTATTTGTTTGTTTGTTTGTTTGTTTGTTTGTTTTTCTGTATGTTTTGCAGTCTTAAAATTATTGTCAAAAAAGCCAATTAAACATTATTTACATAGCTCCATCAGAACATCATCACTTATAGAAGACTCAACTTCAGCATATAATACAGGCAGTTCTGTTAAAGGATTGAGTATGTGTTTTTTTCCTCAGTCAAAATAAGTCGTCATCCTGTATCAGAGGGGCTTCGTGAATTTGGGGACTCGTGCAGCGTCTTATATAAAAAAAAACCACAAAAAGTCTCAGGTGCATTTCTCTATACCCCCCTCCCTCCCTCAAACCAGATTGGCGGTGGCTCCTGACGACGCCTGTGACGTCCTCACGCGCGGGCCACGTGGGCTCGAGCTTAACGGGGCTCCCATAAACAAAGACACATTGGCGCCTCGCGCTAGTCTGCGCACAGACTCCTCTCGCGGTTACGCTCGCACTCTGCTTTCCCCCGCTGGACCTTTGCATTAAACTCGCTCTGCTCTTTCTCTGTGCGCGTGTGGATACAATGCAACTTTGTCTGATGCTGATTTAAAGGTACGTGATGACTGCTTTTTGCACGTGCGTGTGTTGGTGCGTGTGCATATGTCTGTTTCGCATGTTTTCCAGAAGGGACCTGACTGAAGCAGAGCGCGTGGCTATCAAAACGCTGTTTGAGCATTTGCAAAAGTATCCAAATACGTTTGTTTTTAAGGTGTTTTGGGGGCATAACGCGCGTGATGCTGGGTCTCTTATAGGGACAGTTATGCGGGACCACCGGCTCGAGCTTGCGTGAGCTCGGTGCTGACTTTTCAGCATACACAAACCCACTAACGCACATTATACAGAAACGTTTAAACGGCATAAAAATAAATAAAATCCCAAACTTGTCTTGGTCTCCGAACCGATAGACTTATAAAGCTTTTGTTCATTTATTTTGCGTGTGTGTGTGTGTGTGTGTGTGTTACGTTCACCGCAGCATTGAGCATGGACCTGTGTCCACGACAAGTGCAGTAGAAATGCTTCTAGAAGTGTATGGGTGTTGTTTTGGAAGTGTTTCGTGGAGAACACGTGCGTAAGCGCGAGTGGCTCCATTGCGCGCAAACAGCGGAGCGCACAGGACCCAAACCCCGGATCGAGTTTGAGCTCAGTTTCCCTCTCAGCGAGCACAAATACACAACATACAGCCTTTCAGGACTGACAGAGAGAAAGTCCGAAACTCTCCTTCGCGTCCAAATTGAAACACCTGCTCCAGCTCGCGGTGCGAACCACAGCGCAGCGGGGCTGCACGCGGGGGGGAAAGCAGGGACGCTGCTTAAGGACCATCCGAGTCAGAGCTGTGTGTTTTTACCCCCAGGGGGAGATCCAGATCCGAGCCGAGCCGAACCGAACCGAGACCTGTCCACAACTCGCTTTCTCCTGCAGATCACACCACCATCCAATCTGAGTGGCGACGAGGACGAGGCACGCGGCTGAAGGTACGGCACGCGCAGTGTAGCCCAAAACACGACTTTCTCTAAAGGAAACTTGTTTGTGCTTAAAATGTATATGTATAAATGTAAATTATGAGATGATATAAGTGCGATATTCTTTTACACCAAGTGAACTTTTAAAACTGCAGGTTATTTCTGATGACAGCGTGTGAACAGCATGACGCAGTGCTGCTGATGTCTTTGGACTTTTAGAAATTACAGATTGGTTAATTGTGAGCTTTGCTGAATGGTTTTCCACCCAAAGCCCTTAAAATGACCGATGCTGTTTCACAAATTTCACATTTCTAGTTACAGTATAGTATTAGTATTAACACCCGAGCAATATGAGAACAACATTATTATGATGTTGGTGTGTTTTTAATAATATGTATTATAAGACAGATTTAAGCAAAAATACATTTTTGTTAATTCTAATTCTTAATCTGTTATTTTACTAACCTTGACATTTTAATAACTGACTGGCTTTACTGGACAAGACATGGAGCATATTGATGTCCATCAGTGGAAGTCAAAACTGAGGATAAATTAAAACTCCAGAGAGATCAGGACAAATTTCTCCAAAAAACAAAACAAACAGTGTAAACACCACCAGTCTTTGCCAAAGCTCAAAAACAGGTTAAAAAAGATTAATAAACTTTTTTGGCATTCTAGAGGATTCACTATGTTCCCTGGTCTAAAACATCTGACTCAACCTGAAACAGCTAAATAACTGAGATGATTTATGTTGGGTAATTTAGTCTGGACTTTCATGAACACGGCAGATTGTAAATTTAACTGCAGGTATAAAATGTGCACTCTAGGTGTAAATTCAGCTGGAAATTTGCTGTGAATCAAGTCAATCATCATGTGCCTTCATTAGAACGTTGTTATGATGATAATATTGGTCTCTTTGTTGATTTACTTTGTGTATTATGAAATTACAGGTTGTCAAATATTACACAGCATACAAAAATATGATGGTGAAGATGATGGCTTTGCAAAAAACTGGAGAATGAGAAACTGTAAATTGTTCACAGCATCAGCCTGTGGCTGACAGACAGGTTTAAAAGGACTGATTTTTAAAAGTTCACTTACTGTTTAGATTTATGTCTAATTGAACCTGAATTATTTTTTTCCATATGTAATGCATGTGATTTTGATAACAGCATCAGAGCAATGTGATGGTGGTTTTAGTGTCTTCTTGGGTATGCTTACTTTGCATGGCTCAATCACAGCCATGATTAACTTTGGCTCTTTAATCTGGGCTGAAATGAACCAGCAGGTCTTAGTTCAACACTACAGGTGTGAATTAAGCTCTGGGGATTTCTTTATGAAATATGATTTCTGGCCACAGCATTTGAACAATGTGCTGGTGAAGTTGGTGCCTTTGTAAAATCCTAATGATTCATTTTCCCTCTGTTCTGTTTTGTGTGTGCTTTTCTTTCACTGTGCCCATTACAGCCATGCCCTGTGTCCAGGCTCAGTACGGCTCCTCTCCGCAGGGTGCCAGTCCGGCGTCCCAGAGCTACAGCTGCCCGGGGAGTGGCGAGTACAGCTGCGACTTTCTCACGCCGGAGTTTGTGAAGTTCAGCATGGACCTGACCAATACTGAGATCACGGCGGCCACCACGTCGCTACCCAGCTTCAGCACATTTGTGGACAGCTACAATGCTGCAGGCAGCACCGCCAGTGGCACCAGTGCCGGCAGCGCCAACCTGGGCTACGACGTGAAGCCACCCTGCTTGTACCAGCTGCCCCACTCGGGCGACCCTTCATCCATCAAGGTTGAGGACGTGGCCCTGCACGGTTACCCCCACCACCACCACCACCCTCACCCCCACCACCCCCACCAGGGCCATCTGGGCCCCCAACCCGAGGAGATCATGGTGACCCATTCGGGTTCTGTCTACTTCAAACCGCCCTCGTCCTCCTCTTCCTCCTCCTCTTCCTCCTCTTCTTCATCCTCCTCGCCCCACGCGCACGCGCCCAGCACCCCGGGCTTCCAGCTACAGGCCGCTCCCGCGTGGGAGGACCCGGCGGGCCCCCTGCACGCCTTCCACCACAGCTACGTGCTGGAGCAGCGCAAGCACAACCCGGTCTCCAGGCTCTCCTTGTTCTCCTTCAAGCAGTCTCCGCCCGGCACGCCCACAGTCTCAAGCTGCCAGATGCGCTTCGACGGTCCGCTGCATGTGGCCATGAGCCACGAGCCCTCCGCGCCGCCGCCTCCGCACGGAGCCCCGGGCTTCGCAATGCACGGCGCGCTCAGGAAGCAGGCGGCCGTGGCCTTCCCGCACGCGCTCCCGCTGGCCGGCCACCATGGGCACGCGCACGCGCACCAGCTGCTAGACGCGCAGATCCCGTCGCCGCCGTCGCGCGGCTCGCCGTCCAACGAAGGCATGTGCGCCGTGTGCGGGGACAACGCCGCGTGTCAGCACTACGGGGTCCGCACGTGCGAGGGCTGCAAGGGCTTCTTCAAGGTGTGTGAGCGCGTGTGTGCGGATCATTATTAACGTAGTGTCATTATTATTATTAATTATTAACGGAGGAAATAAGCGCAGCGACGCTGGGAGAGTCCTAAGTGTGTGTGTGTGTGTGTGTGTGTGGTGGGGGGGTATCTCGCGGTTGCACGACGTTGTATAATATTAATTACTGTTAATTATCTGTTAATTATTAAAAGAGGAAATGGAAATATTAAGGGAGGATCTAATGGTTGTGCGCGCGCGGCATTTCGCTACTTTTAGAGAGACAGATTTGTTATCAGCGCAGAAGTGTCTCCTCTCTTCTGTTTTCAGCTCGCACTCGTGATGTAAATTAACATTAGTATTAGTAATAGCGTCAAAGAGGAGAAGCACGCGCACGTGTAAGCCTGTTTCTGTGCTTTTCCCCCTCGCATTAGAAAAAGTATTGTTAATTATTGTAATTAATTTATCACTGTTAGTAGTAGTAATATTAGTGTGCGTATATTTAGTTTCCCCTCTTCAGCTTGTAGAGTCTTTCTTTCACTTTCAATTAAGCATAATATTAGAAACTAATATTAGTTCTAGTTCTAGGACTTGTCTGAGTATAAGCACTAATTATAGTACTAGTATTCATACTCATATTCATACTCATTAAGTATTACTGGTAATAATATTAGTATAAACCCTTAAACAGGTAGGATTGCTGGAGGGCATCTATGTAACTTGTATGCTGTCAGTTTCTGAATTTTCCTCTCAGACTCCGTGATAAACATTTTGCAATAAATGCAATTTGGTTGCGTAATTCAGTTTTATTATCATCCCCAAAACCTCATTTGTTTCTTTCTGTTTTCTTATCCAGCGCACGGTGCAGAAGAATGCAAAATATGTGTGTTTGGCAAACAAAAACTGTCCTGTGGATAAGCGCCGGAGAAACAGGTGCCAGTACTGCCGCTTCCAGAAGTGCCTTGTTGTCGGGATGGTCAAAGAAGGTAAACATGTGTCTTTGTTTTTTAGGTTATCTTTGAAGTGTTGAAACTGCATCTAGGCTTCAAGTAAAATTCCTACAACTGAATTTATGTCCAGCTGGACTTTTCAAAAAGTAAAGTGGAGTAATAAACTTCCACATGCATTGCCATGAACATTGTGCTCTGTGTCCTTTTGCTGTACAGTTGTTCGGACTGCCAGTCTGAAGGGTCGAAGAGGCCGTTTGCCGTCCAAACCCAAAAGCCCCCAGGAGCCCACTCCTGCCCCCCCACCGGTCAGCCTCCTCAGCGCACTGGTCAGAGCCCATGTGGACTCCAACCCCTCCATGTCCGCACTGGACTATTCCAGAGTGAGTTCAACTCTTACTTCTTTTAGAAGACTGTTTTTCAGCATCACAGAGCCTCAGATTTAGTGGTTGCGCTGCATTGCCACACGGTGTAGATGAATGTGCTTTGCATATTTCTGATGTGCCCAGTTCAATATGCTTCATGATAAACTTTAAATATGTTAATAGGCAGCATATTTTTAACTCCGTAAATTGCTTTTGAAACAGAGGGACTCAATAAAGTACAGACACAAGTTAAATGGAAAGAAGGAGGAAAAAAAAGCATTCCCCCCTCCTAGAAATGGGCTTTGCAATTTCACGGGTGATATATTTTAGAGGAGCTCATTAAGGTCGTGTTTAAATTAAATATCCCAGTTCCACGCCAGCCCTGACTACCAGCTGAGCGGAGACGACACGCAGCACATCCAGCAGTTCTACGACCTCCTGACGGGCTCCATGGACATCATCCGGGCCTGGGCCCAGAAGATTCCTGGCTTTACGGACCTCCCCAAGCAGGACCAGGATCTTCTGTTCGAGTCTGCATTCCTGGAGCTTTTCGTCTTGCGTCTGGCCTACAGGTATGACCAGCTCTGAGCTCTCTGATTTCACTTTCATTTCACAATTAATAAAGAGTGCTGCAAACCACTTTTACACTTTTTTGCATTGTCAAAATGACTCTGCTCATCATTCATTTCAGACCACATTAGTTTACAGCCAGTTTTTAAACAACCTACAGAATCCATGAAAAACTGCACTTATGTATATTTGACATCTTGGATGATTGCCTGTGTTGTCTGTCTTTCACTTCCACCCTTTCCTCTTTCTGCTATTCTGTATACACACCAAGCTGTGCTGAACTGAAACTCCAGCAACTTTGCTGGGTGGCAGTAAAGCATCCTGCATGTTATAAATGCAGATAGCATTTAAAAGATGGCATTAACTGCAGGTGTGAGCTGATCTTCTGCACCACTGTGCAGCCCAGGCTACAGCATGCAGTCCTCCTTGTGAACAGTGATTAGTAACGCGTGCATGTGAACTGATTGCAGGTCTAACCCGATGGAGGGTAAGCTGATCTTCTGCAACGGTGTAGTGCTGCACAGGCTGCAGTGCGTGCGTGGCTTTGGCGAATGGATAGATGCCATTGTGGAGTTTTCCTCCAACCTTCAGAGCATGAACATAGACATCTCAGCCTTCTCCTGCATCGCAGCACTCGCCATGGTCACAGGTACGACCACAGGGGGATCGCAAAGTCCGAATGGCTTCATGCCTCAGCTCCATCTCCTTACTGCAGCCACTGGAAAACAATGACATGCAATTAATTAGACTTTTGATTGACATAAAAAGTCATCATGCCTCAGCTCCATCACAGTACTTGCATATATGTTGTATGGTAGATTATGTATTAGCTTATAACCTTTCATTTGCTGTTAAATTAAAGGTTAGATTTCCCTATGTTGCTTGGATCATTTGTGTTTGTTCACTGTGTTGGTGGTCTTTTTCATTTCTCCTAATTTCTTCCACTGCCTAACCTCATTAATAACTTTGCTCATATAACTTTAACAGATCATCTTTTTTTCCTGTTTGTGTACAGTTAGAGTTAAGGACTGAACATGAGTTTTAGCAAGTTTATTCGCTTTTACTATGTAAATTAACAAAGTTAATTTTACAAATTTCAGTTCTAAAAACAAATTCTTTAATCAAAATATCAATAAGTAAGCTTGCATACACCTTGGTATCAAAGCATACTATCACCATTTTCAGTGCATTTTTGCAGCTAAAATAACAAATCAACATTCTTGTTTATCATCTACACTGTTGGAAATAAAGGTTCTGTCCAGGTACATTTTTCATTCATCAAGGTACAAACAATGTAAATGTTCCCTCAAAGGTACAACAGTGGTATTAAGGTCCAGTTGTGTCCCTTAAATAAGTTTTAACCAGGTGAAAAATACATATTTGTACCTTTTCATAACCTAATGTTAAACAGAACAATGAAATAAAAAGCCTGGAGATGAGACGGGGTGTGTGGAGTCAATACAATTTAGAAAATATAATTTCAGTGGATTATGGTACAATTATGTTCCCTGACTAAAGGTACTGAGATGTACCTTTAAGGGTACCACCCCAGTGACAAGAGGGGTACTGCCCCAGTGACAGTTTCCTACCTTTTTTTCTGAGAGTGTAATACAGTGAGTGTCACTAATGTAATCTAAGTCTCTCATCGCTCTGTGTTTGTATCTGCAGAGAGACACGGGCTGAAGGAGCCGAAGAAAGTGGAGGAGCTCCAGACTAAGATCGTGAACTGTCTAAAGGACCAGCTGGCCTTCCCCGGGGGAGGAGGAGGGGGAGGCGGGGGTGGTCCTGCCCGGCCTGCCCCACTGTCCCGCCTGCTGGGGAAACTGCCGGAGCTGCGCTCGCTCTGCACTCAGGGCCTTCAGCGCATCTTCTACCTGAAGCTGGAGGACCTGGTGCCCCCGCCCGCAATAATAGACAAGCTGTTCCTGGACACGCTGCCCTTCTAGAGACTCTTTCACACCGACCTCAGAGAACTGACTACTTCCACAGACTCCTCACACCTCTCCTGTCCCTTTTTCAATGATTATTGCTGTTACTGATACCACGACTGACATCGAGCTGTTCGGATCATCAAACCAAACCAAACGAAGAGAGATAGTCTTCAACAAGTGATGCATTTTTCTTTTTATTATTAATAATATTATTATTATTTTTACTATTTGTTCCTTTTTATTTTCCCCTTCAACCCTCGAAATATTCAAAGATATAAATAAACGACCCGCGGGGGGAAACAGTCCTAGTTTGCTTAATTTTACTCCGACAAAGGCGGGACGAGCTATTATCACTCCTTACTGACATCATTAACGAGAAAAGACATCAAATAATAAAATCCCTGGAAAATCACCCAGTAAATGTAATATAATCCATTTATATATACATATGCGATAGATTTATTCGCGTAATTTTTAAGTGTATAAAGAAGAAGAAAAGTTGTTTTTTTTTCTTTCTTTCTTTTCTAACTTGTGCCTGTGTGTTTCTGTCAGGATCGAAGAGGAGACGGAGAAAAAAATGTATAATAAAACAAAAACTACTAATAAATAAATGGAAAAAAGCAGGCATGTTTGTAGAGGACTATAGGCCCTTTGCTATGGAGGTGATGTCTATATAATCCAGCAGTATTCTTCTTATTCCGGACACTATGTAGTCTGCTAGATTTTATAACGATTCGTAGTGCTGGGAGCAGCTTTTCTGTATGGCACATGTGGAGAAAAAAACAAAGAAAAGATAAAAAACACTGATGAAGAGGAGTATTTAATCTGTATAGGTGAAAGAAAAGGGACCCATAGTGTTTGTAAAGCTGTCAGACATTCCTTGTTTGTATGTGTCGTATGTATTGTTGCTGTTTTAATATAAAAACGTTTCTATATTTATTATTATTATCATGATTACATGTTTTCTTTTCTGAAGCTTTGGAGCTTGGAGCAGTCTGGAGGATTCACAAAGCATTTCAGACTCGTCCTCCTTCTTTTTTCTTTCTTGTTCTGTTTTCTGTCTGAGACACGTCAGCAGCAGCTTTTCGTTTTCGTTTTTACCACCTTTTATTGACAAAAGTCCGTCCCATATTATATATATTATATATATTTATCCATAAATATATATTCATATAGTCATATATTTGTGTGCAGAACATCACTGCCCCTCTTTTTCTATGGTGTAATATGGAGTATTGATGGAGTTCCGAAAGCAATCCGGAATAAAAGTCCTTCAGAAAGAAATATTTAATGTTTTACAAATAAAAGTTTGAAACCGATTATTATTATTATTATTATTATTATTATTATTATTATTATTAATAATGTATTTTTATTTCTTAGCGGAGATTTTCTCTTAGATTTCAAAGCAAATAAAGCGGCTATGGCGGAAACAATAATACAAAAAGTCATTTTTTAAAAAACGGATATTAAATTAGTGCTGAATTGCTGGCTGACCTTAAATCAAATTCAATCAAATTTCAAAGCGAGCAATTTAAAAACATTTTAATGACATAAAAGTCCCAGATTCGTCTTTGATAAATTCAAGTTTTGTTACATTTGCGTGCTATTCGTTTGGAATGTTTATAATAATAATAATAATAATAATAATAATAATAATCTATATGTCAGATCTATACATTGCTGTATCTGCACTGAGCGACACGTTTAATGAACGTCTTCAAGCGGATTATTTCACCCGTTATGATTTCATCTTAATTTGGTCAAATGTGTTTCTGAGCTCCGTCAAACTGGACAGTCTGGATTACAAGAATAAACACAAACAGCGTTTTCGACACCTCTCAAATAAAAAATACTGTATCATAAATAAAAACATCGTTATATACAACATCACTGTTTCTCGCGTGCACTTTTAATTTAGCTTTGGCAGGTTGGGTTAAAAAGATCTAAGATGTATTTATTAGTATTTATTGTATTGTATTTATTTATTTATTATTATAAATCGTCTTTAAGATGTATGTATGTATTATTATTATTATTTCAATTGTCACTATGTTTCAAGGCTAACGTAAAATATTTCCGCGAAACCTTGTAATTATGCCCGAGATGATCGTTTTAATCGGTTTATTTTCGCCTTATCCCGCAACTTCATTTATTAATAAAATATGATGAAAATATTATTTATTATTTATATATTAAAAAATGTTACGTTAGTTTTGCATTGAAACGATCGACTGCACGCCGGCTGAGAATCATCCCTGTCCAAAATAAAAATAAAACAGGAAAGAGCGCGCGTGCTCTTAGACAGACAGTGAAGGAAGTCGACCCCCATGCTCCCACCCACCGCAACAAAGTCTGTTCGTGAAATTTTACTTTTTATACAAATTATTCTATTTCCCTTCTCCTCCTCAGAGAGAATCTCTCCTCGGCCAGCCCCCCTGGAGCTTCATATGGGGGTCTTATATTGAGCTTTACGTCGAAGAAATCCGGAAGAACAACACAGCACACGTGAGATCAGTTCTGCCAGCGCTGCTGATGTCGCTTTAAGCAGCACCGCAGCTGCTAATTTAAACCAACCTGAGGTTCTTCAAGCCCGCAGCGCGAGACCCGCTTCACACTCACTACATTACTCCTTTCTAAACGTTTCTCAGTCCAGACGTCCGAAATGTCATATTTTGGTTTGGAGCGCCTCCGCCCTCCCAGACGGCCTCCGTATGAAGCTCTGCTGCCCTCACATTTCCTCACCCAACAAACACACTCTCACTCACTTCGGTCACTGCTCTGCTCTTCAGGGTGGACAGACAGAACGGCGCGTGTCTAAAATCCACCGCTTTATTTTACTGTCATCAAATAAAAAGATCTGAAGTCTGACATCTTAAACACATTTCCCGCGTTAAACCGCTATCAGTGGTGCTGAACGCGCTGCACGCGCTCCGCACGCGGGAAATCGTTTTCTGCTGCGCTCGCGCTCTGCTCACTGCCAAGCCTTTGGGGAGCAGCGCAGTCGTTGAGGCTGATGCAGCAGGCGCGCGCTCCTCCGCTCAGGTTCTACAGCAGGCGCGTTCTAGACTCTAAAGCAGGCGCGCGCTCCAAAGCAGAAGAGCTAAAGCTAAAGTCTAAAGCAAGTGTTCCGGTGAGTGTTCTAACGCAGGTGAGTGTTCTAAAGCCAGTGAACAAAGCAGGTGAATGTTCTAGAGCAGCTGCATGTTCTAAAGCTGGTCAGTGTTCTAAAGTAAGTGAATGTTCTAAAACAGCTGTGTGTTCTAAAGCAGCTGCATGTTCTAAAACAAGGTGAGTGTTCGAAAGTAAGTGAATGTTCTACAACAGCTGCATGTTCTAAAGCAGGTGATGTTCTAAAACAAGGTGAGTGTTCGAAAGTAAGTGAATGTTCTATAACAGCTGCATGTTCTAAAGCAGGTGATGTTCTGAAACAAGGTGAGTGTTCTAAAGTGAGTGCGTGTTCCAAAGCAGATGAATGTTCCAAAGCATATGAGTGTTCTATAGCACAGGAATGTTCTAAAGCAATTGAATGTTCTAAAGTAGGTGAATGTTCTGAAGCAGTTGATTGTTCTAAAGCAAATGAGTGTTCTAAAGTAATGTCCTAAAGCGCTTGAGTGTTCTAAAGCAGGTGAATGTTCTAAAGCAGACGAGTGTTCTAAAGCAAGAGAGTGCTCTTAAAGCATGTGTTCTAAAACAGCTGAGTGTTCTAAAAGCATGTATTCTAAAGCAGATGAATGTTCTGAAGCAGGTGAGTGTTCCAAACCATGTGTTCTAAAACAAGTGAGTGTTCTAAAACCATGCGTTCTAAAATAGGCACGAGCATTCTAAAGCAGAGGCGCGTGCTTTGAAGCAGGAGCACGTTTCAGTGTCTAAAGCAGATGCTCGTGCTCTAAAGTAGGAGGTCGCGTTCTAAAGTCCAAAGCGCGTGCGCGTGTTTTAAAGTCGAAACAGGCGCGTATTCGTGCGTTCGTGAACTCGCGCGTTCTGTGCATTGTCTTCCCCCCTCTGTGCTCGCGCTCATTCTGCTGGATACTTGTGCTGGTATTCGGGTCGCGCATCTTTCGTTCCCCCCACCACACACACACACACACACACACACACACACACACGCACACACACACACACACACACACCACGACTCACCTAATGCAGAAACAGACAGCAGAGTCAATGCAAACCAAGCCAGGACTTCACTGCAGCACAAAACACACACAATCAACGTTTCATTGCAATATAATTAGCATTAATAAAAGTGTAAAGAACTAATCATGACGTACTGAGGCAGAGGAGAAGTACACTGCACTGTCTAACTTTACAACATCGACACACTGCCAGCTGCTTTAGGACACGGTCTGTACAAACACTCCTAATCTTTATTACGGTAAAGTCTGAGACTGAACTGAAAATAAAACAGAACTGCAGTGTAGTTAATGTGATGTGCTGCTGCTGTTTATGTCCTGCTCTATAATGTCAGACTGTAAAATGTAAAGGCAGTTTACAGTGCTCTCCTTCTGTTAGTCACACCTGCTCAGTGAGCTATAGTCCATATTTATGTACTCAGAGATAGCTGGAAAATAAAGAGGCTGAATAATACAAAGCATACAGCTGCATCCTTCCACAGGCCAGTTTCATCATGAGAATGTTCAGCTTCTGGTAACACTTTATTTGTAGTCGTCTTTTGTAGATTAATAAACTCTCAACAGATTATTAGTAACATATCAACATATCAGTGAAGCAGCAGTAGTGAAGCATCTGAATACAATGAAATAAATAGTAAATGATAAATATCTTTTAGATGTTCTGTTGATACATTATTTACATTAAGTAGATGTATTGTTAATATGTTTCTTCCATTACGCAAAACCTAACCTTACCAACCTTACCCAAACCTAACCCTACGCCTGGCCCTAATCCTAACCTTAACCTTAACCTTAACCTCAAACCAAAACCTAATCCTAACCCTAACCCTGGTCCTAATCCTAACCCTAACCTTAACCTCAAACCAAAACCTAATC